AAAAAAAAAAAAAAAAAAAAAAATTCCCTTGAAAAATGGACTGTTTGTACTCATTGCTGTTGCTATAATTTGACCTTTTTGAGTGCTACCTTCTTCCCAACAGTGTGGAACCCCTTTCTCATTCACAGTTTCACCTGGCATATGGTGTAAATGTGTCAGCAGGCTGTTTTGTGCACCGTAGGTAGACATTAAATCCTTGAAAGAAATTATGTGAGTTGTAAATTTACTTATTTAGTTCCTGTGTAGGCAAAGATGAACCATGAAACATTTTTATCCCTTAGTGTTTTTTTTTTTTCCAATAAAAATCTTTTTGTTTTGACAGAGTTCTAATCTTGAAATCTACACTTAAATAGCAATGTTATGGTAAGATTGTAGTAGTTAACAAGCAGAAGCTAAATCTGGTACATATTCATGTTGTACATTTTAATGATATCTGCCAAATGACATAAAAATGTTCATCTGTTTCTATGAGCTTTTAACTTAACATAAAATTGTGAAGTACTTAGCATACCGCGGTGAATGTTGCAAAGTCAGTTGTAGATATGATTTATTTTTAAATAACTTCTAGTGGATTTTAAAGTGTTTTTAAAAGTTTGGTATATGTATTTGAAACATAAAAGTATTAAAAGTAGAACTTTTGACAAAGCGAATGCTTAACAAATTAGAATACTAGATCTAGGATTTAATTTTCAGGTTGAGCAGTTATTTTAAATAGTGAAAATTAAAGTTTTTATTTCTTAATCTTGTTTTTATTCTAGACATAGATAAATATTGATATATACATATTTTCTGGTTATTGATTGAATATATTTTTATTATATATCTTTTTACATAAATTACTTCCTTTTACTTATTGTAGCTTTCAAGAAAATGAATAGCTTTAATATATAAATAATGCCATCCTTAGGGATTTCAGTAACTGTAGACTACACAAGGATATTTATCCATGTATTCTACCTTATTTTTACTTCTCTCTTTTTTTGCCTGATGTGTTGTTGTTGGCAAATGTCCATTGAAGGCATTTCTTTATTTGTAGAACCTTTCTTTTTTTTTTTTGAGACGGAGTTTCGCTCTTGATACCCAGGCTGGAGTGCAATGGCGCGATCTC